ATGGATGAAATATGAGTGTGTATTGTCAACTATGACTGCTTTTTTATAAGAACAGTATATTGTCCGGGAAGTGAACATGAATTGTTGTCAGCATCAGTTGTTAAGGCTGTATGCCATGACTCTAGAGTTTTTCGGGTCCTAATGTAGCAAAACATGCATGGACTTATGACCACAGGATTGACTTTGAAAACGCGGAAGTTATCGATAAGGGAAATTTTAGGACCCGAAAAACTCTAGAGTCATGGCATACAGCCTTAACAACTGATGCTGACAACAATTCATGTTCACTTCCCGGACAATATACTGTTCTTATAAAAAAGCAGTCATAGTTGACAATACACACTCATATTTCATACGCACTTATGCAAATCTTTCTGTATATACAATAATAGACTATAGTTTCATATTTCATACACTCATACCCGTTGAAGGCTACAGATTGGTAGCCGAAAGCTTGTAACGTCTATTTTATTATTATATACCATTGACAATTTATCATTCTTCATTTGTCCTCCACTAGATTGATCAGCTGGAAGGTCTTACAAACACAGAGTTCAGACAAATGGAACAAAAAACAGCAATGTGGTTAGAAAACAATGTACGATTTTCAACTGGGTCGACGATAGCACGCTCAGAGAAAGCTATGAGCGTTGTGAGTGAAGGTGGATTATCGTCGATGGAGCCGCACAGTCCACGTACGCCCACGACACCTACGGCACCTGGGTATAGGGACAAGAGTTGGGTATAGGAATAACTGAACTTTCAAATAAAAACCCCTGAAATATTGGTAGATTTTAATAGTAATACTAAACCTTGCAGTAGAAATACTAAACCATTTAATAGATATGTACCAATGCCCAATGGGTCGTTCCAGAAAATATCCACACTCGCCCCAACTGAGGAAATTTCTGCCGTTGATAATAGCAAGTGTGTTAGGGCATTTAAAAGGGGTAGGGGGCTTAACCTCCAATTTTTGGCTTATTTAAACATATGTCCTTTAGTACAAAATATCCACTAAAAAACCCAAATCATAGGGAGATGAATATTTTCGGAGGTTTATATTTGAAAGTTTAGTTTGTTTAAATTGCAACTGGTACTTACCCTCACTAGAAATGGCAAGAACTAAATGAACTGATCCTATTTAAAGGAAAATAGTAAATTGGCAATATCACGTGGAAACACACTTTTGTCTATGGAAAATTACTCATACAAAGAGATGGGATTATTATATACTAGGTTTTTTTACATTGCTGTTTGTTGAACATTGAAAGATGTACATTTTATACGTCAAAATTTTATACTATACTCAATGTAATGATTGTTGAAAATATTTTATATAAGAACAATACTTTCTGTTCATGATGTCATATTTAATATTAATTAATTCCTATAAATATATAACATATTGAAATTTGAAAATATGAATTATGAACTAGTATCTGTCACATACATAAACTTTATCATAACGTGAAAATTTAAACTTGTGCCGATGTAATGTTCCTCCCTATGAAAATATAAATCTTATATTATTTAATACTAAATTGCAGGGCCATACACAACTATAGAAAACTATATTTACGATTTTTAGAATGTCATTAATTATTATTTGGATATTTGGTACATTTTTCGCACAGGCCTTTCACCCCCTGATGAAAAAAATCCTGTGTATGGCCCTGCTAAATTGCATCATTATGTAACTGCAAAATAGTGACTAATCGTGATAAATCATAATAAAAAATCTTGATTAGTGTTTGATTGAAACTTACATTGTTAACTCAACTATCTATCGACTAATAAACTAAATAAATTTACTTTTGTAAAAAAATTTCAACACCTATCTTCAGGAAGTCAGGTTGCGCCAGAGGAAGGTTTCTTCATCAATTTGTAACAATTACGAATCTTCGTACGTAACCTTGCATCATTGTCACAGAGCTTGAACGCTGCTGCAAAATGTTTAAGAGCAAGTCGAGGTTCATCTGATTTCTCGTGACGTCTGGAAAACGAAATTTGAATTATATCCACACGGTTAGATCATGCTCAAATGGTACATGTTCTTGAATGTGAGCTACCTTAAAGTGATCTGATGTTGTACAGAACTCACAGCTGAGTTAAGCATGGTTAGATCATGAAGAGGTAGTACATGTTCTTGAATGAAGGCTACCTTAAAGTGATCTGATGTACAGAACTCACTGCTGAGTTAAACATGGTTAGATCATGCAGAGGTAGTACATGTTCTTGAATGTGGGCTACCTTAAAGTGATCTGATGTTGTACAGAACTCACTGCTGAATTAAGCATGGTTAGATCATGCAGAGGTAGTACATGTTCTTGACTGAGGGCTACCTTAAAGTGATCTGATGTTGTACAGAACTCACTGCTGAGTTAAGCATGGTTAGATCATACAGAGGTAGTTCATGTTCTTGAATGTGAGCTACCTTAAAGTGATCTGATGTTGTACAGAACTCACTGCTGAGTTAAGCATGGTTAGATCATACAGAGGTAGTACATGTTCTTGAATGTGAGCTACCTTAAAGTGATCTGGTGTTGTACAGAACTCACTGCTGAGTTAAACATGGTTAGATCATGCAGAGGTAGTACATGTTCTTGAATGTGGGCTACCTTAAAGTGATCTGATGTTGTACAGAACTCACTGCTGAATTAAGCATGGTTAGATCATGCAGAGGTAGTACATGTTCTTGACTGAGGGCTACCTTAAAGTGATCTGATGTACAGAACTCACTGCTGAGTTAAACATGGTTAGATCATGCAGAGGTAGTACATGTTCTTGACTGAGGGCTTCCTTAAAGTGATCTGATGTTGTACAAATCTCACTGCTGAGTTAAGCATGGTTAGATCATGCAGAGGTTAGTACATGTTCTTGACTGAGGGCTACCTTAAAGTGATCTGATGTTGTACAGAACTCACTGCTGAGTTAAGTATGGTTAGATCATGCAGAGGTAGTACAACACTACACGTTCTTGATTGGGCAATCTTAAAGTGATTTGACATTGTAAAGAACTCGCAGCTGAGTTAAGCATGGTTAGATCATGAAGAGATAGTACATGTTCTTGAATGAAGGCTACCTTAAAGTGATCTGATGTACAGAACTCACTGCTGAGTTAAACATGGTTAGATCATGCAGAGGTAGTACATGTTCTTGAATGTGGGCTACCTTAAAGTGATCTGATGTTGTACAGAACTCACTGTTGAGTGAAGCATGGCTAGATCATGTTAGGTGAATGAACTCGCATGGGAAATGCTTTGAAAACTGAAATAGTTAGAAATCGGCGGCAGGTGTAATGCTGACCACAAAGTAATATGGTAAAGTTACACACATGTTCCATGCGAACCAATTGGAGACAAACATGAAATATGTATGCAAATCTAAAACGATATTTTCCCGACCTTCAACTTGTATAAAAAAACTGTGCTTGTTAATTATTGCATATAAAAAAGACGAGATATTTCATATTGTCATATAAAAATACGAGAATACGGCTTTTCATATTAAATTTATCTGAGAGTATTTTATCTGCAGTTGACTATTAAAAACAAACATGCATTCAAATAAATATGATACATTAAACTTTTGTGCGTAAAAAGCGAGTAACGCCTACTGAATCCATAACTAAAGCTGCACTCGAACCAATATACTCGTAAAATCATCGAGGCAAGCCTTGAATAACGATGCATGCATGCTTTGTATGCGAGCATAATGCACGCCGCCTACCGGGTATATATATACTGGCGTATAATACTATAGATCCAAGCCGTAGGCTCTTTGTTAAGAAAGCATGCTCTTTGAGCATGCTAA